GGAGCCTCATGTAGGGTGTACAGCTTAAAAAGAAAATCTTCAAAAAAAATTTTTTTTAACTTTCTTAGGAATGTCTTTTACATCTTAATGTTGTCAGTGGCAACTAGTATTGTATATGGTACACAGCTAAGGCCTAAATACTTAGTGATTCAGTCTGAAATCTACACAATATGCATTTGATTTGGGCATCAGAAAGTCATATATCATGCCATGCAATTAGGTAATATGCATTATCTAAACATTTTTACAGTGGTTTCAGACACTGATTGCTTATTATGGTGAAAAATGTGCTGCCATTCTTCGTTAAGAGATAATATTAGCACTGTGAAGACCCTGAAGTTACTGCTATATTGCAGCCTTTGATTAAGACAAACTTAGAAAATACATTTGATTTTTATTTTATTTTTTAAAGATTTTATTTATTTTATTTTGACAGAGAGAGAGAAAGACAGCGAGACAAGGAACATGAGCAGGGGGAGTGGGAGAGGGAGAAGCAGGCTTCCTGTGGAGCAGGGAGCCCGATGTGGGGCTTGATCCCAGGACCCTGGGATCATGAACTGAGCCAAAGGCAGATGCTTAACGACTGAGCCACCCAGGCACCCCTGATTTTTAGGTCATATGTGTATTTTTTTTTTTTAAAGATTCTATTTATTTGAGAGAGAGAGAATGAGAGAGAGCAAGCACATGAGAGGGGGGAGGGTCAGAGGGAGAAGCAGACTCCCCGCCGAGCAGGGAGCCCGACGCGGGACTCGATCCAGGGACTCCAGGATCATGACCTGAGCCGAAGGCAGTCGCCCAACCAACTGAGCCACCCAGGCGCCCTAGGTCATATGTTTTTTAAGACAAATTTACTCTTCCAGATTTTTATAGCAAATAATTTGGATAACAGGATAAGGAAGAAACAGTAGCTTATTTCAAGAAGTCATAATATGAAAAAGAGATTCCCTTATGCTGTTTCCATAGCTCTAGAAAGCAGAACCAAAAAGTGGAAACTATAAGAAGCCCAAAGAAAAATCCTTTATACACATAAACACACACACACACAAGTGGTAGTAGCTGGATTATCAATAGATATGATGCTTGAGGGTCAGAGGTCAGACTAGATAAGAGGTTCCAAATATTTTTCCCACTCTAACCCAAAGAAGACGGCCTGTTCCCATCAGAAACAAATGGTGGGAGCTGGAACAGAGGGCTCATGTGGGGTGGGCTGAGGGTGGTAAATGCCTATCCAATTCCAGGTTGAGAAGCACCAGGCAGGATGACAGAAGGCCTCTTCTAGTTCTATGACGCTCTGGGGCTTTTGAAGAAGGGTTCTAAGCAAACTCCTGGGGAGCATCTCATAGGTGAGAGGGGTATTTCCTGTGTCCTTACTTATGAACGCAGCTCTCCCAGCAACCAGAGTGCATGGGGACCATGAAAGGCTGGGATTAAGATGAAGGCTGAGATTGCACAGAAGTCCCCCTTATCTAACCACATCACATCTGAACCAAGCACATAGTGTTCTGACCTGAATTTTAGGTTCTTTGACCATTTTCCGGGATTTCTAACCCACTACCTTGCTCTCTGTCCCTTCTAAAAAATGTTTCTAATTGCTGAACTGGAAAAGACATAGGAAAGCAACTCTTACCTTACTCCACAAAAATGAAACAATTTCAATTTGGAGCAAATGCTCCGAACTTTAGACATTCATATTCTCCCTTCTGCATATTCATCACCTCAAATGTCATGCAAATTCAATCTCTGCCTACATGACATCATACCATGTTGTGAATATTTTCCTCAGAATTTCCACAAATTTTACTAATGCAAATGGCAACCGAATGACAATTATCCTGAAGGTAAAGGGCCTTCTCTGCTTTATTCCATCAGGGGATGGATACTAAGAGCGGGCTTTACAGATACTCCTGTCTGAATTCTAGCATCCAAACAACTGCTTGCTGTTCTTGTTACACACTCTAGAATTAGCTTACCAGCTCTTTCCATAAGTTCGGTTTTGAATTAAATGTGGGCATACGTTTGAAAACTGCACCCTATATTTGAGTAGTATACACTTATTTTACATTTTTTTTTAATTTTTTTTTTTTTTAAGATTTTATTTGTGAGAGAGAGAATGAGAGACAGAGAGCATGAGAGGGAGGAGGGTCAGAGGAAGAAGCAGACTCCCTGCTGAGCAGGGAGCCTGATGTGGGACTCGATCCCAGGACTCCAGAATCATGACCTGAGCCGAAGGCAGTCGCTTAACCAACTGAGCCACCCAGGTGCCCCTTAGTTTACATTTTTAACATCATGTAGGAGCTGTGGGAACATCTGGTGTTTTGCAAATTTGGCCAAATCCAGTTGTACTTCCTTTTCCAAATGTGTCCTCTGACATGTAAGGGTTGTATTTCAATTTGAATTTCTCTTGCTCTCACTCGCTCTAGCACAGTATTGTGTGATTTCAAGCAAGCCTTGTATCTAAACTTTTTATTTTTCCTCTCTCAATGGAAAATTAAAAGCTTGCCAATTAATAAAATGAGGGAAAACATAAAGCTAGACTAAAGATGTGAAATTAACTTTAAATGCCTTTGCCTCACTTTTCTATAGCTTACCTGACTCTGTAGAAAACCATCTCTTGAGATAGTTTACTAGACAAGAGTACCTTGCTAAGGATTATACCATCTGAACTAAGAGAAAGCAATGCCGCATAATTAACTGACTCGCTCTCTATTGGATCAGCCAGGCATCTCTTCCTCAGGAAAAATGCACCTATGTGCACAAACAACTATGTCCTACATTCTCAGGTGGTGGGAGGATATCTGAAGGTATAAGTAAGAAACTAAGGTGATGAGAATGTGCTGTAACTGCAAACATCTGACTTAAAACATCATAAATAAAAACGAACACTCGTAGTGGATTCTACATCCAACTCTTAAGTTTAATCATGAGTCAATAACTGCTGCTGGAAAATCTAGAACTGTCTGTCCATGTCCATATACATGCTCACAATTAGCATATGGCCTTGGTCATGGAGCTAGTCTTTGTTGCTGCCCTCACATAAAATACTGAAAAGCTGCTTCAGCATAAGGGGAAGGAAACAGCCTTGGAGTGAAGGACCCTCTGTCTTCCTGGCTTCGCACCTCGTCTGCTTGCTTGTCTAGCCCCTGTAGCCAGTTCACGGTCCCACTTCTAGAGGCTTTTCCTTGGATTTCAACTCCCCAGTTGGTTCATTCCCTTCCCCCGATACATACTTCCTACATTGCTAATACATACACAGTCAGAACTGTGACCCTCTTCTCATTCTTGGGAAATTCAAAACCCGTGTTTGCTGGACTCTTATCTTTCCCCATATTTGCCAGGTTCCTGCCTGGCCTTCTTCATTTAGACTCAGGCCTGCTCTGGACACATCCCATGAAAGCCTTCTCCACTGGAGTGAACATCCTTGGGGCTCTCTGGTCCCTGCCCTCCCACAGTTCCTAGAATGGCTCCAGGCCCTTGACTCTAACTGCTTGTTCTGCAACTCCTTAGATACACTACAGTTAAGAGCAAAGACCTTCGAAAAAAGCCTTCCTGACCTCAGGGTGTGGCTCCTCTATTATCAAACTAAGCTCGTGGAGTCTCACTTTCCTCACCTGTCAAAATGGGAGTAATAATATTATCTGCACCACAGATAACTCGGCCACAAGGAGACAGAGGCCTAGCAGATTCCTCAGTCTAAACCACAGAACTATTAATTGGCAGGTTCAAAGTTCAAGGCAGGTTTACAGGACTCGAAACTTGTACTCTTTTCAAATATATGATGCTATCTCCCTTTGAAATCTTTAGTTTCTTCCTTAAAAACAACAGAAATGATCATCTCCTTTTCATAGCAGTGCTCATAGAATTTAAAACCAAGTTATTAACTGAAGTACTTGAGTTCTAATAATAAGGACATGAAATCCTTCGTTATCCACAACTGTTGATCTAACAAGTTAGTTAGCACTAGAAATCCTGGGGCACCTGGGTGGCTCAGTCAGTTGAGCATCTGCCTTCGGCTCAGGTCATGATCCCAGGGTCCTGGGATGGAGTTCCGCATCGGGCTCCCAGCTCAGCGGGGAGCCTGCTTCTCCCTCTTTCCCATGCTCATGCTCACTCTCTCTCTCAAATAAAGACTTTAAAAAAAAATTAAATTAAACAAAACAAAACTAGAAATCCCCACAGATGTTTGAACCTCTACCTGTGCCAACCTCCAAATGAATGACTTGAATTCTTAGCCTTTACAGTAAATTTTCAAGATAATATTAGCCACAGTAAAAATTCTTGTGATAAGATACTGGGTGGACTTGCCGATCAACTTGGGGAAAGAGAAAGCAGCAGCAAAGCAGATGAAGAGGAAGTTCCAAAGGCAACAGAGCTCAGCAGTTGAGAGCAGAGGTAGGAGACTGTCTAGGACAGAGTGCCCTGTGGCCAAGCAGAGGGCAAGAAGGGGAGGAGAGGGACCCACAGTATTTACTCTGTGTGAAACTATACATTGTTAGAAGGATCCAGAACAAGATTTGGAGTCCAGTTAAAGGGGCTCAGACCTAAGCATGCAGCAGACATTAGAAAATGTCTACAGAGACTTTCATGGATAATGGTATCACCAAGCCATATACTACCACGTGGCATTCATGCGAAATTTTTTAAGTGCTCAATTTAACCACAGCTAAGTTGTCGGCCTGCCTCTGAATGCAGGCACGGTGGGCTGAGTGCTGGAGGTGTTTCCCACTTATGAACTGCAAAGAACAGGATGGAATATTTACTATAAAATGACATAGGAGAACTCTAACATGTACAAAATGTACATGTAAATGAGAACAGTCGGATTCTAATTTAGACGACTTGCACATCTGTGATAGAAGAAAATGATTTCCCAATTAGAATACCTCACACTTAGCAAAACGTCAAACATGTAAGTATTCTCCATCTCGAGAAAGTAAATAAAAACAAACAATTTTCATTTCTTCTAAAGCATCCAATGCACTGTAAGCTATCTTTTCAGTTACCTTGGTCACAGCTTTTGCAGAAAACGTAATTGCATCCACCACAGTGATGAGGTCGCCCGGGGGGAGGCGATCAAAGTACTTCATGCAGACTTCATAGGCGTGGAGCCACTCTGGGGAGGACTCTGGGACGTGTTTAATGAGGTGAGGGTCTCCGGTCCAGAACAACTTCTGTAACCAGATGGTGTACAGAGAGCTCGAGGAAAGCATCCGCCCATCCTTTGCAGGGATTTTGGGAACAAGTTTGGAAATAGATAAGATATTTTGACTTGAAAGAACAGGCTCCAGTGCTTCCAGAGGATTCATGTTTTCATCTGTCAGCTTTTTGTAATTAAGACCTAATGGAAAGAAAAGAAAAAAAACAGAGAGTAGGTTCATTCCAAGAGCTTTCACACACATCCACAGCCCTCTGTGTGGCTGGAGGGAAAAGTTCATCTCCCGGTTTACAGTGGACAGTCTGTCGATTACACAGGTCAGAAGACCTGAGCGCCAATCTCGGCCTGCAGGGTCATGGGCCGTGGAGTCAACTCGTCCACGGACCGCCTCAAGGGGGCACTGGAGGCATGGTGGTCCTGCTGCTTCTGGCCTGCAGGGCACCCACGGTTTATTCCACCAGCCCACTCACCACACTGCCTTCTGGTCACCTGATGTTCATCTGGCCTCCCCTCCACTACCCGAAGGCCCGAAGGCAGGGGTTGGATCTTACTCCTTTTCCTCTGTTTCTAATGGTCCAGTTTCTAATTCGGTTACTCAGTAAACCACTGATAAACGGAAGTAAATTCTCACGACTGTTACCAGTATCACATGAATATAGATTTCGAAGTGCCCTGTAAGTTATAAAGCACCACACAGACTGGAGAGGTATTAATATGTTGACTTCCTTAGTTATGAGCATAAAGAGACACGGATACCATCCTAAAGATTTCCACAATGTATCAAAGGTTCAAAGGCACTTATCTGAAGGGTTCCACACACACTTTAAACTTAGAGGCTCCAGTGAAGTGAAATTATGCCAGACTGCCAATTGTAAAGGGTCTCAGCCTTGTCCTTTATATAAGGCAAAATATAACCCCTGGGAGTAGGGAATAAACCTCTGGAAGATTAGTCAAAAACTTCGGATTTTAGTACCAGGCCTACTCTAAGTTACTATGTGGCTTCCAATAGGTTTCTTACAGTTTCTTTGCTATTTAATTCCTTCAACAGTAAGTAAAGGAGCTAGAAAGATAACAAAAGTCAATTAGCGTTGTATCTTGTGGTTTCAGATCTATGCCAGCCACAATGCACAAACATGATTGTGTACAAAAAATTAATCCTTAGATTTAATTTAAAGAATGAGTTCGAGCAGGGAAATGATCATCTTACCTGAAGCAACTACCTTAAATTTCTTCAGCAGCCGAATGTGGGTTTCTGGTTTAATGGCATATTTCCCCAAATCCGCACAGCCGCAGCTTTCCAGGAGAGAGAAATAATACAGCAACCTTTCGTGATCAAAGCCACCAATCGTGGGGTAAATATACTTGACCATGTGCTTGTGAAAGGCTTCTGGATCAGTCCTCAAAGTCTCAAAGAGATGAAGGACTTGGGCTCGATTTTCAATTTCTACTGTGGACAAACTGAAATTAGGGCAAAGAAATTGTGTTAAGATTTGGTCCCTTTATTGAACAATGTGCTCTTTTTTTTTTTTTTTTTAAATACTGAAGAAGAAAGGTTGCTTCTTACAAAGTCCCTTCTTCCCGCCAATCAAAATTCAGTAAACCACCAGGAGGCAAGCAGTTTACATCAAGGGAAAGAGACGTGTTAAATGCCTACTATTATACAATTTTCATGTTATCTCATGTGGGTCACGGCAACCCCGTGAAGTAGGCATGACTTCACATTCCTTCAGATGGGAGAGTCCCCCAATGCGTACCAGCCAGGAAATGAACCCAGACTTGTCAGCCTCCATGATGCATTGTTTATTTATGTCATAAGAAGCATTTAAAATCTGAGCTTCATTATAGAAATGTAAACAACCTTATTATTTCAGGAATTTAGGAAATGGTGAGGGGAAGAAACAGCTCCAACTTTGAGGCATATAAATTTCACATCCAAGAGCCCTGAATTGCTATTCCATAGATCCAAATTTGATACTATGTTCAAACAGAATTAAAATAGGTAAGAACAGATGCATGTGCTTTCACTTGAATTAATGAATGCCATTTGAATAAAACACGTATCTTGATCTTTTCATCCTGACTTAGATGCCTTTATACTGTAATAAAAAAAAAAAGGTCACTTAAGTTTAAACTATTGAAAAAAATTTTAAGGAGTTTTGGTTGGTTGATCAATTTTTATTGGGGGGGGGGAGGCTTAATTTTAGTCTTGGCTTCACCCTGGACAGAATATAATGCCTCCAGTCCAGTGTAACCCCGATGCCCCATGCAGAATAAATTTCAAACTCTAATTTTCAGAGTCCTTCAGGCAGCCCTCAGTACTCCTAGAAATGCCACATTTCCAGGGCCCTCAGCAGTGGCAAACAACATATGTGGGGGCAGCTAGTGAGACTTCTGGCAGTATCAAAGTTAGATTACTTACAGTTGAAAAGCAACTCCTCTGGAATATGATACCCTATTTATTGGAACTCTCATTTTTAGAAAATGCCAAGACACGTTTTTGGTTTTTGGAGATAAAGTTAATATAAATTATGTTTTAAAGTTTTTACAAGTGTGTGATAATACATGGGATAACAGCAGCAATCCACAAAGTGAAAACATCAAGTAATTTTTTAAAAAATGCTCTTTTAACCTGTCACTTCAAGAGAAATCCTGTTTTTCTGCTAAGACAAAATTCAAACATCTACATAAATATCCCTATGTATAAAAATGTCCCTGGTCTATAAAAATTTCCCTGGCTGCGTCCTCTGAGCATCCTTCTATTCTGGTACTCATAACATGCTTTAGCTTTTCATTACCTTCTATGTCTCCCTTACTAGACTATAGATCACTCGATGGCAAAGATAATACCACATCTTCTTTATCTTTAGTTTCTCAGTTCCAAGCACTAGTGCGTGGTCAAAAGGAAACATTCAACATGTGTCTTCTGAATGCCAAATAGATGGGTGGATGAACAAAAACTTAAGTGTCCTCCATGGACCAGGCACTGTGCTCAGCACCAGGGAGGGCATAAAGGTTTACAACACAGAGCTCTCATCCAGTGGTCTGAAAATCTGGTTGAGCTATAAATACTTAAACAACAATGCAAAATAATGGTATGGATGGACAAAGGCCACACTATCATACTCCCATTAAGAGTGGGATCACTAAAGCTGTAACTTCAGAGGACATGGCTGTCAATGTTAACAGAAGTCTTAATGAAGGAAGTACTTGAGCTTGTCACTGTCAAAAGGCATGAAGCAAAATAAGATCATAGAAGTATCAAGACAAGAAAGCACGAGGTCTGTGCAACAAACACGGAGTATAAATGAATGGCTGGCCAGAAAATATTCTTGATACTCTCACTATGCAAAGTATGCAATGTCATCTCTGAAAGACACTGTATACACAGTGGTATATGAAAGTGATTCATAGAATTTGTTATGTTTCTGCATAATTTGCAAAATGAAGTCTGAAAAAGTAAATAAGAAACCACGTCACCCCATTAAGACAGTTCGTACTAACAAAGATTTGCAGGCAGAACGGCATGCCTGATGGAAGGGGAGAACACACGTGCACTTATGACGCTGATTACTATGCAAGGCAAGCTAAATCTACGTAATTAGCAACCTACAGATGAGAAACTGCCATCAGAGAGGTTAAGCGACTCGCCTAGGACCAAGGGTCCACATCTGTTTGGACCCTGTGTGCGTTCTGCTCGGCTTATCACAAAGCAGCCATCGACTGACAAAGGTCGAGCGCCTGCACTACCAACCATTCCAGAAACAGGACTGTTTTCTGTAACACAGACATCAGCTCTCTCTCCCAGCAGCATTACTCTAAAAGAGTTCTCCTGTCATACTTCATTCCTAACACCCCGATAAACAGAATACTCAAGACAGTCTCATCTACAAAATGGACAGTGACTAAACTATCACAGTTTTGGTTCACTGGTGTTTGGCTTCATTCTGAATATAGTCTCTCTCAATCAGCATTACTTTCCCCCTTGCCCACCCACTTATTCTTCTGTGCCTACAATTCAGTTTGCCCGATGTACAATTTTACCTAATTATCTTGTCAAGACAGATACTGGAATACCTTTACTGACATATGATAAATACCAAAACCTCCCTCTTCAGTAAATTACAATGTGCTAAGATCTTTCATAGATGCCAGTAATCAATAACCCATTTTAATAGTTTCCATTGAAAGAAGCTCTTATCTTCCCTTTGGAACAAGAAATGAAATCTCTGCTTAGAAAACAATTCCAAAGAACCCATATTCAGGAGACTAGGAAGAAATACCATGAAACCACTATGGACTTTTCACTAATCAAATTAATGATTACCCTTAAAAACTGTTTAAGTGCTTTTTCTGGAGCCAAGTTTTAGCTATAAAGCAGCTTATATAATATGGTGCATATTTAACTTTTAGAGATTAACTACAGGAAGAAACTAGCATTAGTTGTACCCAATGCGCAAGGAATAAATTATGAGCACTAATCTTTTGATTAGTGTTCTGTAATGGCTTCAAGTTGTCAATCACTCAAAACTGTGATTCAAGAACACCATGTATTGAAAGAACTTATATTTGTATAGGAAAACAAATTTATTTAAACACCTTTTTCTTTACTCAGTCTGAGACTGATTGATAACAGTTCCATTACCTGAATGAGGAATACTGAGGAGAGGGGGAGGAGGAAGAATAACAGTGGGGTAGGAGGAGGGAGAGGGTAACTGGGAAAGAGGGACAGAAAGGGATGGGGGTAGGGCTTCACAGAATCCATATGTAGCAACTAACAGGCATTTCCCCCAAAGACAAATCCTACAAGTTTAAAGACATATGGGTCCAAATCAATGACCACGATCATGGGTGAACAGGGTTCCCCCAGAGATGCCTGTGGAAAGAGACAATTCTACCCTCAAAGTTTCCCTCTGACGTGAGGGAAACAATCCAAGCTATTCACCACACAAATGCCTCAGAATGAACTCGATGTGGCTGACTTGATCTGCAATGCTGCCTGACAGCTGAACATGGGACTGAAAGAGAAAATGAGGTCAAAAATAATCATGGCATTTTTCAGTTTTGCCAACATTTTGGCCAAGTGTCTTTGCAAACTGAAAAATGGAATTTAACTTTCTAAGTTCACCTACAGAGCTGATGGGATGACCAATAATGGGTATCTCTATTTCTTGTCATACGAATACTTGGTGACATCCTCTGCAGAATGTTTTATTTTTACTTAAGTTTTTTTGTTTGTTTCGTATTGTTTTGTTTTAGAGAGGTAGAGAGACAGACAGAGAGAGGAGGGGCAGAGGGAGAGGGAGAAAATCTTAAGCAGGCTCCACGCCCAGCACCTAGCCCAATGCAGGGCTCAATCTCACAACCTGAGAACATGACCTGAGCTGAACCCAAGAGGCAGACGCTTAACCGACTGAGCCAGCCCTCTTTGTGGAATGTTTTACATGACCTGAGTATGACAGGGCAAGCCATGAGGTCAGGCTTCGTCTCCTCTCTAGTGACAATCCCAACCCCTCAAATTCTGACTGGTTTGTACAGTCTCACATTATAACCTAACAAAAAATATTTTAAAAAACACCATAGCACAGAAATAGTAATAGGCACCATGTATTGAGCACTTAGGCATTAAGTATCATGTCATCTCACTTCTCACAAAGCAGATACCTTATAATTAATGTCAGTGTTGACTTGAGAAATAATTGTTCAAGAATCAGATGTGCAAAGTTAGGCTAACAGTGGTCACAGGATGGGTTCAGCACATATGATCTGTTTCCAGAAGTCATAATAGTAGCTTTTTTTTTTTTTTGAGCATCTACTACATGTCAGGTGTTTTGTATAAATCTCTTAAATCCCACAGCAATTTTGCCAAATGGAATGAGAACACCCATTTTGCAGATGAGGAAAGCTAGGCATACAAGTCAAAGAGCCAGGGTTTGAACCCAGATGTGCAGGATTCAAAGCCTGAGCACTTTCCACAAGATGGAAATAAGCCAAGATGCATTTTCCTGCTTACATTTTATGCCAGCGTCAGGAGCTTCTTACTCTTTGGGGGAGAAGTGACCTTAACGATCACAACATGGAAAGGAAGGTTACAGATATAAGGAAGGAGTTGCTTCCAATTTAGTAATAGTGGTAATTAGTTCTTCCATTTTTAGGAATGGTAAGTTTCTTCTTATGCACAATGCAAATCACAGTCTTGGTCATGATCTCCTCCCCCCTTGGGCCAAAAGAAAGATCAAAACCAAATCGAACAATTCTATAAAACCCATGACCTGAACATCTATATTCAACCCTCCTCCTCTAATACGGATTTTTCCTGGTCCTGAGTTTTTATTTCATCTTAATTTTCAACATTATGACCTACTTTTAACAAGCTGAGCTACCTTAAATCCCCACTCCATACTATTCTCACACTACCTCGTCAACTATGCCAGGCTTGCTTAAGGGTCGAGGAGATGGGAGAAAAGCCAGAATTCAGCATCCTTTACAAAGTGGCTCTCTGGACACAATCCCCACTCTCAGCAGCAGCAACCCTGGGGCACAGGTCCTGTGCATCTTCTAATTCGTAAAAAAGGCAGACTCCTTACAGTGTTTTCATCTTCCCACAGCTATAACTTGCCCTTGCTCATCCTTGTACCTGAGACCAAAAGAATCCTACCAGAGAATATGAAACTGACTGTGGAAAATAGCAGTGCACAGTCAGATTCCCTGTGACCAGGGGCCCTAGCCATGGGTCTAAAGGAGACAGTACTACACCAACCGACAGAGAAGAAGACGGTATCATGATCTCAGACACCCAAGCAAAATCCCTTGGGTAATCACCCGGGTGACTAAAAGGTGGCTGGCTATCAGAGTGAATTGAAAGTGCAGGATTCGTGGCCTTCAGATCTGTTATTTAACTAAGAAGGGGGAAAATGGAGGGTGTCATCAAGGATGACAGTCAAAGGTAGTTCTGGCCCTTATCTAGTTCTCCTGTGCTCAGAGGCACCATATGTTCCAGCCACAATGGTCTTCCTGTAGCTATTCCAAGACCTTCCTGGCCCCAGAACCCTCGGCCTTGGGCATTGCCTTTATGGGATTCACCATGACTAGCAATTTAGGTCTGGGCTATTTTTAAGTAAGTGTGTGTGTGTGTGTGTGTGTCTTGGGGGTGGTTGTTGGGGGGGGTCTCCCCTATTAGAATATAAGCTCTATGAGGGTAATGATGTACCCAGCACTTAAAATTAAGCTTAGAATAGGAAGACACTATAAAAATATTAAATGAACAAACAAATGTGGTACTACTCAATCACCTAGAAGCAGCCTCTGGTATTCCAAAAATGCTCTTGTGTCCAAAACTTAAAGACACTCATGGAGTCAGAATCGACAAGAACAGTAACAGGAACAATGCAACAGTATTACAGAGCCACCCAGCTATATACCTCCCACAGATTTTTCTCTAATCTTTATAATCTTACAAGGTAAGCATAATGGTCAGATAACTGAGAAAACAGTGATTCAATCACAGCTACACAGTTGGGGTTATGGGCAGATCTGGACCCTGAAATGTGGCCTGACTCCAACACCCACGCCCTCACGCTAAGCCACACATACACTGGTAGTTAATGAGGTAAGACCCACCAAAGCGTCCCCAACAGCCCGGAAGGGATGCTGGCTACTCAGGATGCATCAGCCCTGAACAAGCCCCAGGAGAAGAGGAGGCTGGGTAAGCCAGTGTTGGCCAGCTGGAAGGGACGCCAGGCCCACGGGCCCACTCAAAGCCATCACGGACGTTCCACACTATCAAGAAGAAAAAACACGGAGGAAAAATAAGGGGGCAAAGGAGACCAGAGTTCAAGTACGGGTGTTTATGAGGATGATCTCCTTCACAGAGGAGTGAAATGGCAGGAAAAACTGCCATTAATGAAGCACCGATCGTGTGACAGGAATATAGGTTTGCTACATTACCGTGAAGTCATTTAATTTTTATTACACCTTAGAGTTAAGGGAAATGAGTTTCAGAGAATTGGATTATCTTGCGTAGGGGCACACAGCTAGAGAGAGACAGTCGGGTTTGACCTAGCCAGCCTGATCTGAAGGTCTACGCTCTGTCGCATATGCCACCTCCCTGAAGACTGTGGGCGCGCACGTACCGGAACGTGTGCTGACACAGGGAACATTCCAGAATTCCACCAACAGGAAAGAGCATGGAAAATAGAGAAAAATATTTTCTCCACGGGGTGGGGAAAGTGGCTTTTTAAAGGGATAGGAAAACAAAATCTTAAGGAAAAGACTGTTATTTTTCTTATAACTCTGATCTGTTACCTTCCCATAGGCAGTGACTCAACGAGTGAATGTCGGGCAATTTCTACTGTATTGACAAGGCTGGTTTCAAATACCTATGTCCCTGAGTCTGATTAAATAGTAAGGCAAATGACATCTTTTAAGTAAAGAGCGAGAGGCACTACTAAACACCACTTCTAAATCAATATTAGGTGTTTTGTCACTCAAAAGTAATGACGCCAGGAGGTAATGATTTCCTGCTTTTGTAATTGCTGCGTCTGCATAATCACACTGCTATCAGCTGTAATGATATGCTGTGAACAGTCTTGCACATTACTAGATTGCCTGGTAATTCATAATATATTCAGAGACCAGTGGAGCATCCTGCTTGTACAGATATGGCAGCCTTTTATGTAACATTCAATGAAAGGAAAAAGATATTTAATAAAATGCCAAGGTATTTTTTAAATGCCAATATGCGTAAGAAACATTTATTTGAACATATTACTGTGCTTCAAAAATGGTGAAGTCTGTGCAATATTTACCACAGATAACACTATCACCCACCCGTGTAGCAATTTCATAAATACTTAAAATGTAGATGCTAACATTTTAAAGATTTAATAAAAATTAAAAATGCTGAATTATAAGCAATTCTTGACTGTTCAGCAGGATTTGGCCCCACTCAATACTCCCTCCCTTTCCTTAAACTCTTTCTTCCCACAGCTTCCCTAGCACAAGGATGCCCCATTTCTTTCCTCCTACCTCTCGGCTGCGCTCTCCTGTCCTTTTTGCTGGCAGCCCTTTACTGCCATTAATTGTGGAAGGTCCTCAAGGTGTGTCTTAGGTCTCTCTCCTTTCTCATTCCATATACTTTCCCAAAGTGCACCCACAACATGGTTTATTTATCATCTATGTGCATGTAACTCCCCAGTTAGGATTTCCGGCTCCTCCTTCTCTTTTGAATTCCAGAGCAGTAAGATCCGCTGTCTGCATGACCTTTCCTCTTGGGCATTTCAATGTGTGTAACTTCACCCAATTCCTTGCCTTTTCCTCACACTCCCCGCAAAATGTCTTGTCTGTAACCAGGGCTACCTGTCTCACCGAAGGATGTCAGCACCCAACAGGGAGACCCAGTAAGATCCTGGCGCTGATCTTGACCCTTCCCCTCTCACTGAATTCAGATCTAGTTGGTCCTTATCGATCATTGCATTTCGTACTAACCATTTCACCTTCTAGATATCTCTGAAAGTCACAGTCTATTACTCCAACGGCTTCCTAACTGGTCACTGTATGCCTGCACTGGTCTCCCTAAAATTTTTTCTCAACATGGGAGCCAAAGTGATCTTATCAAAATGTAGACCTGATCCTATTACCTCCCTCTCTTTTATAGACTACTTTAGTAGTCTCCTAGGACTCATGTGAGAGGCCTGCAGTCTTGCCCACAGCCTGGCTTCTAGGCCTCTCCACAGAGCCATCTCACACTGAGCTCCCCCGACTCTCTGGACCTCAGCCACACTGTCCACCTGTCAGGCCCTCACATGCATCATGCTACTTCCTGTCAAAAGCTTTAGTACTTAACTGTCTTGTCTCCCTAGAAAATGGTTTCCTTCTCATTGCAGTGTACATAATTGTGATGCAATATTTAGATCTCAGCTTTAGCATTATTTCCTCAGGAAAGTCTTCCTTAACTATGCCAAATCCCCTATATGGGCTCTCTTCTGCGGTACTTGTCACAGTTTTAATTTCACATTTGTCTCTCATTATTCATTGACAGTCTTGTCTCCCATACTAGACAACAAGTTCCAAGACAGCTGGGATGCCTGTTTTTGCTAACTACTGTAACCCAAGTGTCTACCACTGTTCCTCGTATACAGCAGATTCTCAGTAAAAAAAAAAAAAAACCTCTGAATAAGTGCACGAATATTAATGTAACTCAGGACTATTATTACTGAAAGGCAAAAAATAATAAGCTATTGTTGTAATACTGAAATGTGTATCAGAAACATATAAAGACAGAATGTCCAGATATTGGTCTACTGTAGCTCAAAAGGGAAGGTGAAATTGTACTTTACGACTTCAAGATCCTTCTAAATGGAATCTGAAAAAACAGACATGGCAATAAACGTACATACGAATCGTATGCTTACCCGCTGTCGGTGAACAGGAACTCCAAATGGGTCATAAGAACCTCCCAACGGGAGACACTGTAACGCTGCGCCAGAGAAAGAGCGACGCTGTAGACGTTCTCCTCGAGTGTTCTTCAAGAATGTCCATCAGCCACGGGGAAGGGAGAGAAGAGAAACACATTACCTTAATCAGCAAAGAAAATGTTCATTAGGACTCTCTCCAGCTGTGAGGGGTGCGGTCGGCACAGTCCTTAATAAGACATTTCACAATAATTCAGGAAAAGTACGTCCAAGGAGTTCTAATGTTCTGTTTTCACTGTGGTGCATTGCAACTGACCAAGGAACGGTCTAGACCAGTGGTTCTCACCCGAGGAGGATGCTGTGCCCCCAGGGACATCTGACAGTGTCTGATTATCATGGCGGGAGAGGAGGAGAGTGCTATTGGCATCTAGTGGGTAGAAGACAGGAATGCTGTGGGACACCCTACAATGCCCAGAACAGCTCTCCCACAAGGCATTATCCAGTCCAAAATGTACAGAGAGTGGAAAAATTCTGGTCTAGACCCCAGAGCCTACAGTCAAAAACCAGTGCAAAGGAAACAGATACATAACTGCAGGGCAGGGATACAAGAAAGCAGAGTTCGTCTCTCAACAATCGTTTGTTTTCTAGCGCCGGGTACTGGGCTAGCTGCTTAGGACATAAAGACAAACAAGATACTTCCTAAGAAACTCCCAGCACAGCCCTAGTGGAAGATATGAGATGTGAACCGACAATTAAATACAACACGGGGACCGCCACCAGAAAGGACTTCCAATACTGACAAGCAGAGATGAGCGAGTGACCGATCTGAGCTTGAAGTCTGGAGGATAAACAAGCAAAACAGCGGCAAGGTAGTTCCGAGAGAGAAGGCAGAGGAGAGGTCAGCCAAGGGGTCTGCACCTTATCCTTTAGCAATGGAAGAGCCAGCGGAAGGTTTAAATCAGGGGATGGGGCCACCAAACTTGAGGCCCTCTAGATATATCAAGAATTCCGGGCCAGGTGCCCACATTAAAGCCATTCCATAAAGACCATCACGGGACCCCTAAATCCCCAAGCAGAACCAATTCTTGGTTGGAGGATTGGTGGACAGAACCACAGGCACAGAAATGAAATCTCTATTCTTATTAAGTAATACTGCTAAGACTACATACACCCTAGCAAAGAAAATCAGGACATTTTCTTAGATGTTTGATTAGCCAGGAGTTGGGAGACATTTTCTGTAAACAGCAAGTTAATAAATCTTTCAGGCTTTGCTGCCATACATACAGTCTCTGTAGCAAATTCCTATTATTTTTTTATTCTTGTTTTCCCACAAACCTTTAAAAATGTAAAAGCCATCCTTTGCTCATGGACTATAAAAAAGAGGCCCAGGGGTGGAATAAGTCTGTCATGGCAAGAATTACTAGGGCACTGTCAATTAAAAATTTCTCAAAGTACTTATTGAGTACCTTCACCTCTCCATGATGGAATGAGCAATCCCCGAGGATGGCAACCGTTAGCAATTCATCCTTTCTGTTAGGGGAGTCTGAGATGTTGCCTGAGCACACGAGCGTGCTCACCAGGTATGGATACCATTACCACCCGATAAAGGTGGGAAGAAACCACGCTATGTTGTGTCCTCTCCAAGGTTAGCCTGACTAACCAGTGCCGACCTATCGTGTAAGCTACACAGGGAACAGAGGACAGACACGCTGCACTTACAGAATACAAATGCCGTGAAAAACGGACACACATTAGTAAGAAAATGAAGAATGGTGGCGTCGCGTACAGCTGAAGGTAGAGCAGCAAACCAGGAGGAACAGGTGCTTCATGGGTTCTCGTTTGTAAGATGCCCAACTCCTGTCTCTAAATCAGAACCGCTAGCTCAGAAATGCCGCGGACACTCGGACGTTTTAAACAAGCCATTCAAAAGCTGCTGTACATTTTTCTAAGTACTTCTTCCAAGTAAGATTCTATTATATGTTTGTCAAAAGCAGGTCTTTGTCCTCATCAACATACTCCAAATAGCATACACTAGCTGGATATTTAAAAAAAAAATCAAGGACAATAACCCTAGCAAAATGTAATAGATGATGTTAAGATGTGCCTTACCTTGTAACCTTTATTCTACATAATAACCCTCTTCTAAGAAGCCATGAGCATGGCCCCAAGGATTACCGAATGCCTGGAGGAAAAGCCCACTGGACTTGGCAATGGGAAGTTGAGGCTCTCACCTCCCTGGCTGTGTGACCCTGAACCACTCTTTAAAGCTGATTTTCAGATTCCTCTTCCAAAAGTGAGGAGGTTGGATTAAATGACCTCTTTGGTCACTTTCCAATTAGACATTAAATGACTCTATGAAATTATTAATCTCTACAAGAACAGAGGGGTGAAGAAAAAGTGATTCCGTAGTTCTCTTAATTAAACTAAATCCTGTGACAGATTGTTCTATCTTTTCTTTGATCTCTCTATTCCCTGCCTTACTCTAAAGAGAATCTGGGGTGTCTTCTGGTAGGAAAGAAGCTCGGGCTAATATAAACTTATTACAGAGTGCCAAGGCTACTTTGCCACTTTCTTAAAGATTTAAATAATAATAATGAAAAATAGCATATATCACTTTCATAAGCAGGGCTATCTTTGTTATTTTAAAGTAATGTACCAGGAGGGAAGAATAACCATTAAATATAGGCACAATTTAACCTTAGTTTCAAAGGCTGGAAGCCTCCACTGAACTGTATGCCGGTGCTTTCCTGGGAACACAACCAGGCAGTAGGGGGGCAGCCACAGGGCACTGTGACGATGGGATGGCTTTGTTATGTGAGAGGTCAAGGTCAACGTCCCAGTGATGATCCTACCACCCATGTAAACTTGGGCCAGTTACTCAACACTCTAAAGTCTCATGTTCTTCAGCTATAAAATGGGGATGACATTTTATGTCATGGGCTTATCTTTGAGGATTAAGCGGTATTTATAAAATAGTTTACAGAGCACCTAACACAGCTCCTTGCACATGGTAAGCACTCCACAAACTGTGAATATCTTCGCAATAACCATTGTGGGTGAACACACTTTCCCACCTTTTTTTTTTTAAGTTTGTTTTTTCTTTCCCCCCCCCCCTATTTTCTCCACCTTCTGACATGTAAGTAATTCTCATTTGATCTAAACTAAAAAATGGAGACCAGTATTAAAACCAAGGGGCATTCCATACCCACAAAGAAAAATTAGAGAGAGAGAGAGAGAGAGAGAAGCCAGGGAAGGGGAGAGGGAGGGGGAGAGAATCTCAAGCAGACTCCCTGCTGAATGTGGAGCCTGATGTGGGGCTCCATCTCATGACCCTGAGATCATGACCTGAGTCGGATGCTTAACCGAATGAGCCACCTAGGCACCCCCTTTTATATTTTAAATCCATCCCTTTATGAGACAAAGGCATCCCCTTACTCTGCTAAACCAAGGATAGTTTCCCTTTTGTACTGGTCGTCGGCAGTAAAACGCTGCACATCCACACCCTTCCGAAGGCCCTGAAGGATCTGAGCCTGAGTGAAATCCAAGAGACGTTCGTTGTAGTAGTGCAACTGCTTGGTCAGTGAGACCAGGTCCTCTGGCCAGGCTTCATGTCCGTATCGAGTCACATGCCTGGTGACCATCTTGATTAGCCCTTTGGGGTCAGCCTATAACAAAAAGAGCAACAACAAAAACAGAACAATTTAACAACAAGAAGACCACGTCTACAGGGCAGTGTTTGGCTCTTCCCCTGTTGCTGTTTAATCAAGGCTCACAACCACCCTAAGCAATCAATGGCAGAGGTGGTACATTTTGCAGACCACAAAGACAAGACACAGAACTGAGTCTGGAAGGAGGTTTCTGGACTCCTGCTCTGTTCTTCTTCCTTAAAAATCTCCCAACCAGTTAAAAAATATTATCCACTTGCTTTTTCAACTACCATCATCCTACATTAGACTGATTCCCTAATTATCTGATCATTTATAACTCACCCTGGAAGTAATTTTTGTCATCATTGCCCCTAGATAAATTTTCTCTGGACCATCTAAGTGTTCTCAATAACAAAGCAGCAGTTCAAATAATGCCACTATAAATGCCTAGCCAGCTAAGTAGAGGAGTGTTTTCTCCAGGGGTAAGTTAGGAAAAAACCTATCCCTGTTCCTGAAATCATAAAACACTTCTAGTTGTATAAGAGAGCACCCAACCAATTTTTACTCTGCTCAGTTGGGGGCTCAATGGGATATTGTTCCATAATTCTTCACAGCTTTTCTAACAGCAATAAAATTATCCAAATAGAACAAAACCCAGAATCCAACAGTTGACAGGAAAGAAAAACAAGTGATTAACTGGCCACATTTATTTACATTAAAGTTGTTCTGGGTGTCAACGAAGCAATAGCAGCTCAGCCATGATTTTGGAATATTTAACAGGGAGCCTAATACTTGAACAACAGTAACTCAATCACTCCCAATTCCTGGGAAGATACGGTTTATATTTTAATATAAGAAAATTAGGAAAAAAACTCCAGAATCTACCTTTGGTTCTCAGAAACACACCTAATTATAGTAAGCTGTCAGCATTTCTAATGTGTAAGCCATTATTCTGAGCTACACAGGAGATTTGTCAATGTCGAGTCTATATTACCAAACCTAGCCTGACACTTCTCTCTTGATCCTATTAGGGAACAATCTGGGAGTACTGATAAAAACCAATTAAAGAAATCTTCTTGGGTTCCAGGAGGTGGATTTGAGGAAAAAGTCGATGTTTTTTCCCTACTGCTATGCATACACTCAGTCCTATTGCAAAAACCACAGATTTATCTCAAGTCAAAAAGAGCTGGGATTGAAAGCTACCTCTCCAAAGTAAGCTCCAAGACCATCTTTCATTCGTTCAGCAAATATTTCTTGTGCACCTATTTCGTGCCAGGTGATGTACTATAATAAGAAGATGTGACCCTTTCCTCCAGGAATGCAGTCTATCTGGAGACACAATCGAGCAGTTATAGAATGGTGTGATACGACTAAGCTAAGACCTGACAGAAAGCTGGCGTGAAAGAAGCAAATCTACCTGCCATTAGAAGCCATGTGGGAATCCGCTGCATGTGGATCCTATTTCTGGCCATGGATTTAGGCAGAGGGGATCCCACGCCTCCGTTCCCAGTGCCACTTCTACAGCTGACATTGACCCCCACCCCCTTTCTGCCAGCTGACTGAACTCTCGGGCAGCAGCCTGAATCACACACGGTGGGCTCAGCCAGTGCTGAGGTTATGTGGTACAGGCCGCTGCTTCAGGGCCACCAGCCCGTCTACACCTGCTTTGCCCCTGGCTGGGCACCACTGTTGCCTGTTTCCCCACACCTCATCCAGTTAGCATGTTCCTGCCTAGTAGCAGAAAGAGCAAGAGCAAAGATGTGATGGGCAGGGCTTCCGGGGGGCGGGAGAGCTCTTCCACAGCTGTCCTTTCACGGAGCACCTTGTGACCCGCTTGTGCACTCCACCAGCAAGCCCATGTTCACCACAACGAGGACGCCTTTTTCCCGTAAGTCACTCTGACCCTGTGGTTCAGACCGAAGCCCTCAGTGTGCAGCTGCCCAATGCACTGGGAAGGAGAGGCTAGAACCATGCAGCCCCATCTCTCCCAGGCTGTTGCTTCCCACCCCTGCTCATGAAGCCCACCACCTCCATTCTCTCAAGGGTTTCCCGCAGGTTTTCTCCACATTCAGTTTTTAACCTTTTGTTTTCTGGCATCTTGGGGATTTGGTACCTGTTTGGGGAGAGTGGCCTACACACGCTTCATCTGACCTCGATTACGTAACGCCTTCTCATTTCTATTCTCTTTGTATTCTGATACAATTTATGGAAAAGTCTCAAGACCCGGTAGAGGGCAGAGCTTCAAAATGGCAGCACAAAGCAATAATGAGCATAATTACTACCAATAACATTTGTGTGGGCTTTCTTTATCCCACAGAGAGTCTCCAGTCTCCACGTGCAACCTTCATTTTCATGTATTTGCCAGTGAAGAAAATGACGCGGCAAAGTGAACTCAGCATGGACACACAGAAGGTACCAGCTGGATGACCTTGCGCTAAGTTACTTAACAACTACAAACTCAATTGTGCCATCTACAAAATGGCAGTAAAACACAGCCCGCGTGGTGGTGTGAGGCTGAAGAGACTCTCTATATATAAAATACACAAACCAAGGCCTGGCATGAAGCAGGTATTCTGAAAATGAAAGGGATTATGGGATTTACTCAAAAGCATTCACTTTAATTGTAGCTCCACTACACAATTTACTTTACAGTTCTTTTTCTCAGAAATATTAATTTATAGCTTATTAAATTATAGCCGAGACCACGTATACTTCATGAATTTGTCTTTTCCAGAGCTCAGCAGAGGCTCAGCAGAAATCAAGTACAGGGTAAAAGGGAAGACGGCCAACAGTAGTAGGGGCTTTGAGGTCAGTAGTACTGTATACTCCAGGGCCCTCGTTCAGTAGGGATGCAATTTGGGGCAAGTTACTTCCTGTTTCCTCACCTACAGGAGTCAATAAGCATACCCTCCTCATGCTTTGTTATGGGGCACAAGTAAAATAAGGTATTTTAAAGTACTTTTTTCTCCATCATTCTAAGAAAACAAATTGGACCTAGAGCTTACGCTCAAGGAATTAAAAAGTAGTGACAGACAAAGACATACAGAGAAGCAACCCACAGCAGCCTCCTGAATATAAGCACCATTACAGGACCACAAACCAAGAGTGATGGGAACTCCACAGAGGGAGTCAAGAGAGGGATCCTCTCTCTTGACTCTTCAGGGGGCTCAGTTTCTTCAGATGTAAAACAAAGGAACATCACCAGATGATCCCCTTTCTAAGGCTAAAATCCTATGAATGTACAGGAATTCAATCATGAAAATAAAATAAATCCTTGGAAATCCCTCCAGGTGTGGAATCAGAGAAGTTCCACATTTTTTTCTCATGTATGACTCCACTAAATCTTCAGAGCAGATCTTCACTCAAAGTACAACCTTAGACTAATGAATTAAAGCCAATATATTCCTACACGGTTTAAACAACTTTAATCTATTTTTCTTTACTAAGTAGAAATTATCTAACTCCTCTGTATTTTTTTTTTAAGATTTTATTTATTTATTTGACAGAGAGAGATATAGCAAGAGAGGGAACACAAGCAGAGAGACTGGGAGAGGGAGAAGCAGGCTCTCCACAGAGCAGGGAGTCCTACGCGGGGCTTGATCCCAGGACCCTGGGATCATGACCTGAGCCAAAGGCAGATGCTTAACGACTGAGCCACCCAGGCACCCCACCCCTCTGTATTTTTTATTTCACATTCTTTGTACATCAAATATGTTCACTTTACTAAGAATTATTTAAGAACAAATACCTAATACTGCAGTCTTTGGTGTGGAGACAGGCATAATACTAAACATACATGAACTGAACCTCATCTAATACTAACAATTCTGTGCGACCAGACTCTACTTGTATCATCTGTTTTAGAGACTCATAGGAGGTGAGACACTTGACCAAGGCCACTGGGTTAAGTAGCAGGGTGGCCTGTGACTCCCAAGCACAATGCTTCCCCCAAAACCATCCTTTTATATTTGGTCAACAAGGAAGGGGTAGCCCTTGAAATTATAAGGATCTTTTTTTTTCTTTTTTTTTTTTTTAAAGATTTGAGAGAGAGAGACAGCGAGTGTGAGAGAGAGAGAGCACAAGTAGGGGGAGTGTCAGGCAGAGGGAGAGGGAGAAGCAGACTCCCCGCTGAGCAAGGAGCCTGATGCAGGGCTTAATCCCAGGACCCTGAGATCATGACCTGAGCCAAAGGCAGATACTTAACCGACTAACTCACCCAGGTGCCCCCTGAAATTATAAGGATCTTGACAAGCCCAGTATGTAAAGAGCTCCCACCAAATGTAACTAAGACTTGGTATTAGAGTCCTTTTACAAACGATCAACTTTCACTGATGCATTTAATGCTGTCATTCTATATTACAACTAGATTGGCTCTTTTTTTTTTTTTACACACACATGTACATTCTCCCTCTCATCCCTTTTATACATATATATGCAAGTATGAATAAAAACAACCATAGAGGACATGCAATGGTAGGTATCCAACTAAATACCTGATTCAAGCTGTATCTACAAGTCTTTCATTTTTTCTTCTCTAATGACAACAGAGAGAGTTGAGAATATCATTTTCTGTTCAACCCCTTGGCATAAGTATACTTGGTTTTAAAATTCTGTCCTAAGAAGGTGGTGAGTAGGAGCAGGTAATTAATTCTTCGATGATAGGTTTCCAAGTATCTTCAAATTTATGGATCATCAAATATTTGTTAAATATACAGAAAGGTTTCCAAAACTTCAATTTATTGTGTAAAACACAATACTAATGAGAAGGGACAATTTGCAAAGGCTTCTAAGAAAAAGGAAAATCAGTTATGGGTAAAAAGCACAGGAACTGGCATCAGATACCCTGATTACTGGTTCTTCTCCCTGAGCTCCAGGTTTTCCATTATTAAAATTGAAGCCATTTCTTCTTTATAGAATCTTCATAAAGATCAAATGAGGCTAGATGGATTAGTGTGTTATAAGTTCCAGCCCTCCATGCAAGTTATCCTCTTACCATTATCATTACTACCTCCAAGCTC